GGCCAAACCCTCATTGGTGTTGCTTGGATTAGAAAAAGGTAGCAGAATTGTCTGGAAATGTGATTTGGGGTTCCATGACGGAAGGACGTGTCTCATCCAGTAAGTCTGGGTTGGGATCTGAGGCTCCCCACTCCTACATTTGAAGGGTCCTGCCTGAAGGGATGTGCCACTTTCAAAGGTGTATCCGCTTCAACTGCCCTCCCTTTCTTAGTGAGGAAGCAGAATACAAGCAATTTCAGTCTGAGGGAGCATGTCACTTTCTCCTTACGTTTGGGGGAGCAGTCACTTCCTCTGGCCTGTCTGCCTTTCTGTCAGTCAAAGATGAGAGAGCACACACTGCCTCCTACAGCAGGAGATGCTGAGACATTCATGCCCTGGGAGGGCCCCAAACCTGGTAAGGGCTCTGACCCAAACGCCATCTCTGGTTACATCATCTTGCCCTGACTTGGTAGACACAAAGAATGAGGTCAATGTGGGGCCACAATACATAGAAGGAAGCAGAGGGGTGGACCAGAACAGCCTTGTGTGTGGGCCGGAATCTAGGGAACAGGCTTCATCAATACAGAGGACAGGCAGAGCTTTTTCAGGCTCCACTGCAATAGCAGAAAGCCTGAACACTATTGTCAAATGTAATGACCATCAACTTTCTGTTAGGCATTTATACTTTCTCCACTAAATTTGCCAAATAAATGGAAGACTGGCGCAAGCCGATTTTGGCTATCTTCATAGATTTTAATTAAATGAAAAGCACTTAACAGGGGCTTCCCGTGTCCCTCCTTGAACTCAGCCCATGAGTTCTGGGCTCTCACCAGACTTGGCACTCCTTTCATTTGCATGCACAGCCTTGCCTACAGTCAACTCAAGAGTGCAGCCATCTTCTCTCAAGGCTGAGTCCTGGCTCATGGCTCTTCAGCCAAGAGAAAACAAAGAGTCGTTCTCGCTCTCTTGCCAAAAACAATTTGCTAACCCATCATCTGCCCAGAAAACAAATGGAAAACAAAATACAACCAATAGTCTTCCAGTGCATCTCTCTGACAAATGTTTATCTTCCATGAACAAGTAGGCGGGTTGCCTGCCAGCGTGACACCTGTAATATATGTGTAGCAGCCCCATACGTACCAGTAGAACGAGCCCATAGAATTCCAGTCAATACCAGTGTGGAATTGCCAAGCTGGCAGTGTGGGATTAGCTCGACCCTCCCTTTGCCCAAAGCTTGACCTGTTTTCCCCTTAACTAATTAATTGCTTCATTTGGCATTATATAAAGACAGCACATTTCACTGGACAGCCCATTTATTCATAATTCACCTATTCAACAGATATTTTTTATGCATCTATTTTTTATGTCATATGCTGTTCTAGCCCTGGGCGTTTGGCAATTGTCAGAAGCAAGCCCCTCTCCTGTGGTTCTTCTCACTCTCATCACTGGTTTTATCCAGCCCTCTCATCTCCAAACAAAAAATGGAGGCCCAAACAAACAAACAAACAAACAACAACAACAACAACAAAACACCTGTCAAGCATTGCTCGGGGAGCGGCAGTTTTGGGTCTGTGTTCTGGCTCCTGATCTGGCCTTTTTCTCCAACACCACGCCACACTGAGAGGCACCTTTAGCACAGTGGCATGGGGTCCCCAGGTTCCTTTGTATGAGAGCCTGTATTCTAGTGAAAGAATCCCAAGAGCCTGGACTCTGGGTGGTAGAGTCTGGGTCATTTTCGCTGTTGCACGTTTTGTTTTCAGAAAGTGGAAGGAAGTTCGGGAGCTAAATAAAAGTATCATTTTTACTTGATGAGCTAACAGACATGCTGGTTGTAAAGTTTAGAGTGAGAAACAATAGTTGGTGCAGGCATGCCTCCTCCCCCACCCAGTACACACAGCGGGTGCTGGCTGACACCTTCCTCCTGAGGAGCCCATCACCTTCTGAGGGTGAGGGCTTGCTGCTGTAATGCTTAGGGAGAGGGAACTGCCTTTTGCCTAAGTCGTGACACAGCCACCATCGTCTTCAGAATGAGTGAGTGTCTATACTCCTCCACAGCCAGGGAAAAGGTCAGTGAAAAGCTTGAACATGGGGAAGTGGGTGAAAGGAAGCACAGGCGGCTGCAGCATCATACAGTGCCCTTCCCACACACATCTAAGTGGAGAGGTTTGGTCCCAAAGGAAGCCTCTCCCAGCAGGGAACGCTGGAATGCCGCTGTCACTCCTTCAGCTAAGATCCGAATTTCTGACATCAAGAGAGAAAGACAGTCGGTTGGTGGTGGCACACATCTTTAGCCTGGCACTTGGGACTCAGGGGCAGGAGAATCTTTGAGAGTTTGAGGCCAGCCTAGTCTGCAGAGTGAGATCCAGGATAGTCAAGGCTACACAGAAAACCTTGTCTTGAAAAATTGGAGAGAGAGAGAAAGAGAGAGAGAGATTGGTTCGAGATAGGTGTGCTTGGTGTGTGCCCAACTTGAAAATGATAAAGAATAATCTCTTTTGCTAAATCACTGGTATAGTATCGACCAAAAGATGGGAAACTTAGTCTATTCTCTCAAGTTTCAAAACACGGGCTACCTAAGTATGAATTTATAACTCTGAAAAGGAATCATGGCTGGCAGCGATTGCCGCCAGTGACTTTCCGAGCCTTGTGCTACCTGCTGCTTATCCACAGTTCTGCTTAATTCTTGGAATTTATTGTATTAATGCAGTTTTACATTTGGGGACATAGACTTAGGACCTGACCTAAGTAATCAATCAGTAAGTGACAAGATTGAAATTCAAGCTCAGTTTGTATCTCTAGAGCCTGTGCTATTGGTGCTCTGCCTGCTCTCATCTGAGTCGCCCATGCACACACAGCCCTGGGGTACACATAGCATGACGAGATTCAAACTATATTTAATCAAGGGTGGGGCATGACCAACAGAAGAACAAGCGCCTAGCCTGCACCATAAGCTCAATCCCTAACACCGCCCCAAATATTGATGACATACTGGTAATTTAGTTATTGGTACTGATTTGGCAGGAATTAATTGATGAAGCCTCGTATGAGTTCTGGATCGTTCCAAATTGGAATTTCCCTAATGATACCAAAAAGGAGCCTATGATGTCCCTAAAGGAGAGTCACTCTGGAAATTTCCACAAATGCCAACATGCTCTTTGGAGTTGAATAAAAGATAAATTGAGTAGCAGTGGCCTAGGCTAAAGTCCCTGGAGGATTTTTTTTTCCTGAGCCTCTGCCCACCCCCATAGCATCCTGCAGCTATCCTGGCAATGACTCCACTACCCCAGCTCCTTACTTGGCCTCCATGAGGGGACACAGTGAACATGGTCTCCCCACTTTTTTCTGACTCGTCTTTAAACAGAGTGACCCTGAGGTCATTTGTCTCCCATCACATCCCATCTGAGACTCGTTCTCCATAAGCAAAGTCCCCCGTGCTATTCTTTCAATTGGGCACAGCATTAATAATATCAGGAGAAATGAAACCGAAAGGAGCCAAGCAGGGTCCCGCGCAGCCCTGCATTTCTTCTGGGGTCACACTTGCCAAGAGGACCAGGCTTAGAGCCTGCTGCCCTGAGATGGGTAAGGATGGGGTGGCTGGGGGGAGGTGGTAGGAGAGCTGGGCACCACTGGCCACTGCTGTCACACACTCATTCAATCCTTTAGTGGGCAACTGCTACCCATGCCTCTTTCATGTAGCGCATTTTATAGGAATTCTAAGGAAAGCATTTTCTTATCAAAACAAAGAAAAATAAGCCTGTTAATGGGACAAACCCTGCGTTAACCGTCCAGTTCTATTTGATTTTTTCTCACCTTTATTAAGAAGATGGCTCAGTTTCGAATAAAGATTAATTACCTGGTCGTGGTTAAACCATAATCTGGCCAAATTAATCTTAAAACGACTAGCTAGCCTTATCGCGCTCTTCCTGCCCTGAGGATTTCAGCCCATACCCACCATCGAAATGAATAGTTCGAGAAATGTGCACGGCCACTGCCCTCTGCTCATCCAGCACCTCACTGGATTAAATTATTAATGTCAGCAGCCATGTCCCCGTCTTGGCCCAACCTTGATGACCTGTTTTTGACAACATGATCCTGGCTCCCTCATGGCTTGCCATAATAAGTTCTGGGTAACATTATCCTCTGTGACAAATGCAACGGAGGTGACTTGGACATTTAAACACCGGGGGCACCGTGTATCTACGCCCGACAACTTTGCGCTGTTCTGTTTGGTGCCTAGAAGAGCAGGCTCCGAGAGACTGTTTTTCAATTGCATCTGTGTCTTAGCTTTTCATTCTTCTGACACAAGCAATCAATCTAAATCCTCCCATTCCAGTCACACGCTGATTTTCAAAACCAAAGCTATATGCCCTCAAATCTTTGCCTTCTTTTGTGTAGCACATGACACCCCCCCCCCATTGACAGTAGACAGTACATCTACATTTACCCCACATGGGGCGCCTCTCCCAGAAGCCCCCCACATGCAGCACTATTGCAGAGCAAGGTTCCCCTCCTTCTCCTCCCTCTCCAGTGACAGAGGACAGTCACACACGAGTAGTTCTCTGTGAGGACGGTGGAGTACGGAGTGGAAAGGAGAAAGCAGAAAGGGACCTCAAGACAGGCAATTTAACAAAACCACTGAGCGAGTAGCAGTTCTCAACAGACACCCCAAGAGGGTTCCCAGGATGCAGCCCTGGGGAGCAGTGACCCCACCACTGGGACATACCACATGTCCAGTAGCTCCTAATTAACCCAACCAAGTTGTCTGTGCCAAAAAAATAACTCAGATTTAACACAGCGTTCTCCTCAGCCCCGATACAATGCTATTTCCAGTTCTGCCAGCCTCAGCTCTGCCAAGCACTCATATTCTCTTCTGCAAAGAGGTATGAGTTTACAGTCTGGGCCATCCATCAGTCACACCTTTTGATTAAGGAGCAGCCCAGTGGTTTCTATGGAAGATACCGGGTCAGCCTCCATCGCCAGGACATTGAAATGAAGGTAGAAAGGATTGTGTGGTCACTTACCAGCTCCTGAGGGCTGAGAGGCTGCGGCCCCACCGCTTTACCTGGTCTCTGGCTGTCTCTGTCTTTCCCTCTCTCTCTCCCCCTCTTTCTCTTGTGTACAGACTGCAGGGGAACTTAGAGAACTCGCAGGGACAGTGTTTGAAATGACTTAAGAAGGAGAACAGGAACAATGCTTCGTTCTCCTTTTCTCAGATGAGTACCTTCGGGAAGAAGGAAGGAAGGGAGGGGAGAGGGAGGAAGTCAACAACCCTTCGCTTTCCTGAAAAAAAATAAGGAAACAGAAGATAGACATCTCATTTTCTCTTAAACAAAAATGTTGGGGGGGGGGTGGGAAGAAAGGAAGAAAATCTTTACGGAAAAGAATTCCTCAAATATGCTCTCTGCTCTGGGAGCTTTAATGGGATGGAAACTCCAGAGTGGCCCTATCCTGTCCAAACAAATGCAGGCTCTCCTGAGTCGCAGACTCTGGTATCTGGCTTGCAGAACTGACACAGCCCAAAGGGAACAAATCATGTCATGTCGACTCTCAGCCGGGGAACGCTTGGGCTGCTGTGCTAACCAAAGGAAACCTGCAGCCTATAACAAAGGGTACGGTGGCTGGTCACCCAGGCCTTTTGGCTTCTCCTAGCTGCTTCGAGAAACCTCTGTTGCTACAGTTTCCTGGCTCACTCCAGGTTTCTCCGAGTTCCTCGCTATCGAACAGCAGATTTATGCATGGCTCACCGAGCTCTGTGCAGTGGGCCAAGTCCGGCTCCATCTTTGCTGGTGGACGAAAAAGGAAAAGAAGCCACTGAGCACAGTGCTGCCAGCCAGGCCGTGGCTAGCTCCGACTGTTGTTTACACTGTCCTGTCTTTCTGGGATGTAGTCACCTCTGGAACTCTAGAAGAAGGGTGTTCATTTGTTTTGAAAATACCGTGAAACAGCTGAGGTCTTAGATAAATCAATCTGTTTCTGAAGGAGGGTGGGAAGGCTGAGTGGAAGCAGGAAAATATGGACTGAGCATCCTTTACCGAAGATGGAGCTGGCGCTCAGTGGGCATGCCTGGGCTCCATGAAGCTTGCCTGCACTTACTGAGAGAGCTAGCGCTCAGTGGGCATGCCTGGGCTCCATGAAGCTTGCCTGCACTTACTGAGGGAGCTGGGGCTCAGTGGGCAGGTCTGGGCTCTCTGAGGAATGTTTGGACTTCAGGGGAAAGAGCTGGGGTGCAGTGGGCAAGCCTGGGCTCCCTGAAGCATGCCTACACTTACAAAGGGAGCTGGAGTCAAATCCTGCAATTAGTACTGTGAGTCTCGTGCCCTCTGTTCATTCAGTTAAGACCATTGCCACCACAAACAGGAACCAGCAGTTGTGGTCCTTTTTGGTGGCACAAGATATATTGTTTATAAGTTGCTTCCTCGATTCACTTGATAATGGAAAAAAGGGGGTGGGGTGGGGAGTATACCTGATGGACAGCCATGGGAAAGGTGACGTCACAGAAAGTGAGGTTTGGGTTCAGAGTTCATATGACAATTTCCCCTGGGTAATATGGTCCAAGGCATTGAGTGCTTATCCCACGTTTTCATTCTACATCTGTGTCTCTGTCTATCTGTCTGTCTGTCTAAACGTGTGCAAGGTCAGAGAGGGCCTAAGAAACGGGTGGTCTGGGTGTTTATAAGAATCGGGGTGACCCCATTCTTTGCAGTTGGGAGGCATCCAACTCTTCCACAGAGACTCCAGCCTATGAGCCTGTCCCCACAGGTGAGAGCACCAACAGCCAGCAAAACAATAAAGGCACACAAAACAGTGGGGAGCAAGCACTCACCTGCCTCCTGAGTCCTCTCCAGGGCTCTAGCCTTCTGCTGGCCTTCCTCTGCATCCTGCCTCTGTGGGGAGGGGAGGAAAAGGAAAATGGAGAGCCAGGAAGGCAAGAGAAACCCAGCAGAGAAGGAAGGTGTCAAGAAAAGAAGCAGAGGCTTCAGAGGGGGGGCACCAGTGGGCACACCTGGGAGGAATCCTGCGGCTTTGGAGCACAGAGGCTTAGCATACCAAGTGGGTCATGAGAGAGAGGCTGGTGGGAGCCACAGGGAGAGGGTGGGCATCGGTCATCACAGCAATGGGTGGAGGGGAGGAGCAGACAAGAGTCCCTGCAGCCAAGAAACCTTCACCTGAGCAGCCAGTCACACCCCATGGCCTTCCTACTTGTTATTCTTGTAGTCTCAGGCCAGGCCAGGCTGAGCCCCAGGAGTCCAGACCCAATCCAAAGGATTTCCCTTTCAAGTCTTTAGAATGTGGGGACTGTCACGTTGAACCCTGTTGTTTTCTCAAAGCTAGATGACCCACCCAAGAGAGCCTGGACAGAGACAAGTCCACTCAGTGTGCTGGACTTGGCTTCTAGGCATCGGCCTCTAGTAGGCTCTTGGGGTGAACACAAGACTCCCCGAAGTTGCTCCATGCAGACACCTGGCTGTAACCTGCCTGCTGGAGCCACAGTGAGGCTTCTTCCTCTTTCCTGCAGTGCCAGTCATATGGAAAGTCACCTAGGAGCCTGTTCCCATCACCATTGGGTGTCAGAAACTGAAACTTCCTCAGTCCTGAGGAAACCAGGCCTCCTCCTGAGAGAGATCTGGGTCAGTCTCTAAGGTCTAGTGATCTGCTGGAGGCTGCTCTGAATCCCACTGAGGGAGAAGGGACTGGGCTCTTGTACTGAACCAATGCGAAGGTGCGTATGTAACATGGATGTAACCTAGGTGTAGATCCCCACCTCCTTAATCTCCATGTAGCATGACTCATTATAGAGGTCATTTGAGTTGGCCAGACAGGGCTATAGACCCATGGGACTTGGGGAAAAACAATGATGGGACCAAAAACAGTAATCTAACAACTCAACATCAGCACCAGCTTCCTCTCTCCCCACGTGAACTCAGCTCATCACCGCTTCCCACTTTTAAGCCATCCCAACTCATGGACACCTTCGGCTATGGTGACAAGAACTCGGGGCCTTCTGCTCATCCTGGGAGCAATTTAGTCCCAGATCATGGAGGTAGGAAGCCAGGGTGTAGGTAGGATGGAAGCAGAATGTACGTTCTGAAAAGTGAACCAGGACTTTCCCGTACTGCTCAGTGAAAGTCCAGAAATACATCGGTCTGAGTGACCAGCATCCACAGCCAGCAGGGATTTCACATTCCTTCTGCCACACCTGTCCTCAGGGGACATCATCTTAATATCTAACCACAGTTGCCTTTGAAGTTGCCTAGGGTATGAAGCTGGCTTTTGCTTATCTGCTTGGGGTTTCTCAGTTTTGCCATTCGCGGGATTCCTCCTCAGTGTTGGGAGTGTTAGCAGGTCATTCCATCTCTTTGCTGCCTGGTGCTTCAAGTTGGAACTAAACCACAATTTACATGTCTGCTGCTCTGAGTCACTCCTAATATACAGCATCACATCTGTCCCTACCAGATGTCTTCTTAAAGGTCAGAGGCAGGTCTCATTTCTCTCTGGGAAGAGAAGTCTCTCCAGTGACTCACTATTTTTGGCTAGTTGGTTGGCTGGTAGGCTGGTTGGTTGGTTGGCTGGTTGGTTGGTTGGTTTGACTTCCTTTAGCACCCAGTTCCTCGCACCTGGGATACACAGCATCACGGTTTCTTTTCTAATCACATGGATTTGATTTGAGGATCTGGTGATAACTGGAGACGCTGGTAAAGAGGCTGAGAAGCTTGAATGGGCCATCAGGGTGCAGAGACCTGGAGACTCAGATGGCTCCTGATCTCCAGCCTCAGTGGTGGACTTCCTGTCTTGGGGCTCTGTGGACTACAAGTCTCTATTGCCCTCTGGGTTCCCCAAGGACAAGCAGAGTTCTATCACCCTACGGTGTCAAGGGGTTGTCTGAATCTCCAGCCTGAAAATGCTTTGTAATATCCATTGTCTCTTTGATTTATTGTCTCTCTCTGCCAAGCCCTGAGGTTTTTTAAAATACAACTCTTAACATCTCGGCAAAATTCATTTCTTTCTTCCTTTTTAGTTTCAGTTTGCTTTGTTTGCCTGGAAAATGAAATGAGGATGCATTTGAACAGGTTACTGGGGAAGGAAGTCTATCATAGTCATCATATGGGGGTGGCATCTGTCTATGTTTTGAAAGTCATGATCTACCTAAGGACACAACGGCTCTGTGAAGGAGATGCTGCCAGCATCCACCCATCCCTGTGGCTGAGAATGTGTAGTCATGGCATGGCCACACAATTTCAGCATCACGCCACTAGTGAGATTACAAACCCCTCAATTCTCGGAACCCTGATTTTAAGCCATGGAAACAACTGACTTTGCCTTCTACACAAGCAATCCCCGTCGAGAAGTAAAAACACAATTAATGGTACCTAAAATTGGAGAAAACTGTGCTTTATATGGTAGTAGAAGCAAAAATGAATGGCCAAGAAGCTCACGAAGCGATCATTTAGTGACCAAGTCTGGGCACCTTAAGGCTCCATGCTGTGAATAGTCAGTGTTCTTCTGGATTTTGTTTGCCTGATAGAGGCAAGAGCTATATTAAGCAAATTAAACAAATCATGCCTGGATACCTAAACAATCTTCACTGCTTAGATAAAGAGTCTTTTCCAGGGAAAACTGTGTGTCAACTGAGGCCCAAAGAACGAACATGAGCCAAGATGGTCAGGGGAAACTTAGGTAAGGGCAGCAGCGTGGTCAGTCTGAGTTCAGACTCTTTACTTGGTCACACGAAAGATGGAAAACCGCTAAAGTTTTCGCATGAGAGATGGGAATTCCACGTAGCTTGGTCCCTGTGCAAAGGTGGATTGTGGAGAGGCAAGAGTAAACGCGGACAGGCAGTTCTAAAGTATGGGCTGTGTTGATGCTCCTGGTAAGGACTATCAGAAATCCCACCAGGCATGCTGACGACTAGAGTTGAGGAGAATACATGTTAGCTATTCTGTGTTAGAGCCAAGGTTGACATTGTCTAAGCCAACTCTGTGCCACACACGGTGAATTGGTAGTATTAGAACTGGGCACACATAGCTGTAAGGCATATCTGAGACTAAGAAGAAGAAAATACCTACCCAGCTTCTCTGGCTACATAGAGCACTCACTACCCTCGCGAGCACACACACTTCCCTACACACTAAGCAAACAAACATCTCTGCAGCTGATATCAGTGTCCTCTAACTCAGTTCTGTTCCGACACTGTCTACAGAGAGAACCCATTTAGCCAGAAGCTGTGAGCTCAGTCTCAGGACCCTGGTCACCGTTCC